CGCTAGTATCGATCGTGGGAACAGTTGGGAACACGTCACACAATGGACGCTATGGTTTGTAACTTGATGAGCACGTAATAACTAACTGTTTATCATCGTGTATTGCATCACAAGAAAAAGTCGAGTTATGGTGTGCATTTAGTGTAATTTGAATTAATGAAAACCGTTGAATGCGCTTGTTGACATCGGATGAGAGCATTCTTTGGTGAGGTGCGAATTGTGTTAGTGAAGAAAACATATACGAGTGTCACGTAAGTGTGTACGTACGAGCCCACTGAAAGTTTTGTTAAAATAAAAAAAAAAAGTATAAAGAAACATCAAGGACTTGTCTTCGAAAAAAGAAATAACAAAAATAAGAAAGAAAATGAACTTTTGTAATAATAATTGATGATAAGGATATGTAATCATTTTGAATATCCGTAGTGGGTGCCAGGACATAGCTAAAGAAAGAAAAAAAAAATCCAATAAAAAAACCCCAGTTTTAACGATGAACTTTCGTAGGCATAGCGTTCGCGCTTTCAAAGACTATAATATATTGAAACTTTTCTGGTAAAACGGGTATACCTATGTGTTATGAATTATACAAGAATGTTAAGGACTGTTTATATTATTCGGTAACAAAAAGGAATATATAATACATGTAATTATAGGGCTAAATATTTCAAAGAGTTTGAACAAAAAGATAGCAAGTTGATTACACACATTTTTTCATTTTTATGTTTTATATACACATATATATACATTAATATATAACATAGATATATATGTGTATATTTGCATATACGGACAATTTATAATAGCAATTCCTATAACGTCAATTAATAAAATACGTTATTTTGTTATTATAAATTTAAAAAAAACTATGCGCGAAAGTATATTTAGTTAGTGCATACTTGGAACGAGAACATTTGTGATAATGTTAGGATGTTTATTGGATACAAACACGTTCGAATTAAAGTATACGAAGCAGTTTTAGTATCAAGAATTATAAACCAATGCAAGTTTTTGGCCAAATGGATTTCTTGAATGTAATCAAAAACTTTACATAAATAACAAAAAAAAAAAAAAGTAAAATAATAAACCTACATGTTTTACACCAAAGTGAACTTTTAAAAATAAAATAAATTGGATATTATGTGCAATCTTCTGAATCTTCTTCTTATACTAAAAACATTACTGAGTTGTTTTCTACCGTGTAATTATCGTAAGATGTACGAAATCCTTTCAAATATGATATTATTCTTGTGGGACAAGTACAATTATATTTTGTCTATCAAGCTAGTAAGTATTTGTTTATATTTGATTTTCAGAAAATATTTAAAGGTGCCTGCACAACGTCGGTCTTACTCGCTAACATCCTATATACCTAAACAGATAGAGCCTGGATGAAGGAATCAATAAAGAACTGATTTTCAAGACTATATATTATCATATTAAAAGTTATTCCATCCTAGAGGCTAAATAATGGACAATATGGACGCAGATAATTTAAATCTCAGTTGCGGAGAAAATGATATTGTAGATGAATTAAAAATTGGAGCGGATGAAACTTATGATACTCGCAGCGAGGTATCGTCGAGCAGCTCCAACTCGGATTCTAGTCAACCGAGTATAACTTCCATTTCAACTAAATCTTCGCGCGGGGATAACAAACGTAATCGCAAAAATAAAGGAAAACGTGCTAGATCAAGAGAATCTAAATCATCCAGTCCTGAAACTAAACGTGCTAGATCCAAGGAAAGCAAGGCCAAAAGTTACGATTACGCAACAAAATTAAATTACTTATTCAGAGATGCAAGGTTAGATATTTTTTTTTAAATATATATTAAGGGGTTACATGGGTTTGGGACTTTCAAAAAAATTTTTTTTCTTTTTTATCTTTTTAAATTCTACAACTCATCTAGAATATTGTATTCAATTTTGAAGTCGATAGGAGTTGTAGTTTTAAAGATAGAGCCTTGGGAAGTTCCACTCTTTAATGTCTCTTATACCAGCACTCAAATCCTTAAACGCGTTTTTCTCAAAACGCTATTTCTAAAGTCGGTTGTCAAGATTTCTCGAAAACTATTTAACCGATTTTCATGAAATTTGCTACACGTCTTCGTGATACTATTGACAAGGACTTGGACGAAGGATTTTCGTTTTTTTCATAAAATCGAATTTTAAGAAACTAAAATGTGGTGAAAATTGTAGCGAAATTTGAAT